AGCCGGGCGGGGGCGGAGGGGAGGCCGGCGGCGGAGCTTTGAATAGGGAAGTTTTGCAGGGCTTACGCTGGCAGTCAGTCCGCTGTTTGCAAATATTGTGTGGGCTCCGCGCGCGGCGGGCTGCGGAGGGTCTGGACCGGGCGTCTGATCGCCGGGCCCGGGAGTTTGCATGAAACTTTCACCTGCGCTCGTGGGGACAGTTTCGGCTCCGACGCCACACCGCACAGCGCCCTGTCCTCCCGGTCGCGGGGACTGTCTTTTCCAGCCCGACATGGATGTGCTCCCCATGTGCAGCATCTTCCAGGAGCTCCAGATCGTACACGAGACGGGTTACTTCTCGGCCCTGCCGTCCCTGGAGGAATACTGGCAACAGGTAAATGGGGATTTCACGTGCCCGGGGCGCCGAGGAGCGAGTGCGTGGAGACGCAGGCAGGATGGGGTGTGCTTGGAGGTGCCTCTGGTGACGCTGACGAGCATTGTCCGGGTACTTGTTAAGAATTAAAAATAATGGGTCTTAAAATGCCCTCTGCTGCCTCTCGGGCGAGGGCACCCCCAGGGGGCCTGGGCAGCGCAGAGCGGAGTTGTCACTGTCCCTGCACTGTCGTTGCCCTTCCCGAGCTTCTGAACTGCGTCCACCGAGGGGAAGACCCACACTCCTCGGCCTAATCCCGGCCCGAGCCCTTGGCACAAGTTTGATGCTTGCACCAGGTCCAAACTCCACAGCTGGATCTTGTCACAGGAACGAAATTGCGTGGACTGCCAAGGGATTTTTTTTTTTTTTTTGGGATTTTGTTTTTGTTTTGTTTTTTTGCTGTTTGTACATACAGTTTTTTTAAACCTAAAATGTTGCCAGCTCTTTTCTACTCTAGGTCGTTTCTAATTTGTTTTCTCTCTTTGGAATTTTTAACATTTGCCTTGTTTTTCTTACCTAATTCTGTGTTGACCAGGATAAAAACACACACACACAAACCCAAAAAACAGAACTGTTTGCACACCATGACTTGTCAGTCATATGACAGTGAGTCCGTCCTAATTGCTTCAAGTCTTAGTTCGGGAGGAAGAACCTTGGTTTCCGACATTTTAGTGGCACTGGAATTTTTGGCATTAGAAATTTAAGAAACTCAGTGTCTTCCCATTCTAATTAGTAGGATTGCCGAGAGACTCCGACACTTGTCCTGTTGTCTTTAAAAAGATAGAAGGAGGGTTCGGTGTTGTCTCTCCGCCCTGCTGTGCCGTTTGCTTTTTGTCACAAAGTGAATTACCAGATCACATATATTCTGTGGGTTTCAAAGCTAAGAAAGCTTTTAAGAAGGATGAAATGCAGTGCTGCAGCCTTCTCATGCCTGCTTAATTGTTCTCGATCCTCTCTTGCCTTCCTCTCCCCTCCCCCTTCTTCCTCCTCAAAGAAGCTGCGCCCTCAGACGTGATTGAAATTGATCTAAGTAGTTTCCTTCGGGCATTTGGGATTTGGGCAACTAGCCAGACTTGGCTCCTGGTCGCCTTCAGAGGCTTTTAAACTCTCCGAGAGCTTCGCTCAGGTCCCTGCTGCTCATCAGCATAATGGAGATTTTTAAATTAGCCAGGGTATTAAAGTTTAACAAGATCTCAATAAATGTGCTTTCATTTTTCTTTGTAACATCAATAAAATATGTCACTGCCTCTCTTCAGAACACTTGAGTACGCATTGTAACTCAGATGTCTAATTTTAGGGGGAAAGCGAAAACCATGGTTTCCACCCCTTTCCTTTCTCATGCCCGCTGTGTGAGGATCTGAGGAGGGGACTGATGTGCATGTGTTATTATAGAACGCACATTGCTAAGTTAGCACCAACCCTTTGAGGAGGCTGTGCTCAGGACCTAAGTGCCCCGAAAATGATTTGCTGAAAAGAGCAGTTTGGTATAGGCATTTAAACCTGTAGAATTGCCAGTAGTATAGACAGCCTTATAAGGACATGTAGGCAGCTGATCCTAGTGAAAATCAGGGCAGACATAATTTAATCCTAAAATGTTTCCTACCATTTTTCTTTTCCAGTGGCTAGAAAGTTTGAAATGGTGGGGAGAGGGGATGCTGATCTCGGCAGTTGTAGCTTCTTGAAAGGTTGGTTGCGGGGCTGGGGAGGGGCACTTTGTCTATGATACACTGCATGTATATTTTTGAACCGGGTCCTTATTTGGCTGCTGGACAGAATTTCAAAAGGAAGTCTCCTTTGGCATTGCGTGAAAGAAATAGGAGTGATGACTCATACAGTTGTACTCTTGGCCAGTAGATAAAGTTCTTGTTCATTGTGGGACTCCCAGCAGGGCCATGGAGTAATTTCCCCCTTGCATCCTCCACAATAGCAGATGGCCATTCTGGAAATATTCCTCCACTGCTGTTGTTGAAGCTGCTTGTTTTTCTCTGACCACTGTAGAAGTAATTAAAGTTTTGTGGCACGCACGGCCCTGCACTTGGAAATGGCATTCCTTGAAAACATACGAGGTCTCAGCTACACAGGAAATGGATGTTTTTCTCTGCAGCTCCGTTGAAGTTCTCAATACGGACAGCTAGCTGCTGTCTGCTCTGAGTGTGGCCCTGTGTTACCAGCTGTGTCTCCAAGAGGGAACACTCTGTGTGCCGTGCAGTCTTTCCGTCCTGTGTGTGGACGCGTGTGGTATGGGAAGGGTGGATGGCTGGGGCTTTCCTTAGTACACATGGTTCTTGACAATGTCAGATAATCTTGTTAAACCTGTTGGGGTGGTGGTGGGGGAATGTCTGTGAGGCTGGTTCTCTTGTGTACTGGAAACTCATTAGAAATGTCAACACTGGTAACTATAACAACAATAACAACAACCAAAAAACTGACTTAGTGATCATCACTCATTGTGGCACTATGTCCAATACTGGGGAAGCCCAGAGAGGTTTTGCCCACTGCTTTTTCTAATGAATTCTTACCCTTTCCTAGAACCAGGTGTCCTCTAACTTTCATAAGGACACAGATTCTTAATTATGAGAGGTTTTGCACCCTTAGCGGTAGTGGCACTGTAGCAGTTTATCTGTCCTTTGTTCCTGCATGTTTTTGGAAATGTGCTTTTGGTTCCATTTTCGGCAGTAGTCACAATCACGTGCCCTCTCGGTTCATTTTGCACAGACCTGCCTAGAGTTGGAACGTTATTGTCCTTTGTTCCTGCATGTTTTTGGAAATGTGCTTTTGGTTCCATTTTCGGCAATAGTCACAATCACGTGCCCTCTCGGTTCATTTTGCACAGACCTGCCTAGAGTTGGAACGTTACCTCCAGAGCGAACCCTGCTATGTTTCAGCCTCAGAGATCAAATTTGACAGCCAGGAAGATCTGTGGACCAAAATCATTCTGGCTCGGGAGAAAAAGGAGGAATCTGAACTGAAGATTTCTTCTAGTCCCCCAGAGGATACACCAATCAGTCCAAGCTTTAGTTACAACATAGAGACCAACAGCCTAAACTCAGACGTCAGCAGCGAATCTTCTGACAGCTCAGAGGAGCTTTCACCCACTGCCAAGTTTACCTCTGACCCCATTGGCGAAGTTTTGGTCAATTCGGGAAATTTGAGTTCCTCCGTCACCTCCACACCTCCTTCTTCTCCAGAACTGAGTAGGGATCCTTCTCAACTGTGGGGGGGTGTGTCCAGTGAGCTGCCCTCGCCAGGAAAGGTGCGCAGCGGGACTTCGGGGAAGCCCGGGGACAAGGGCAGTGGAGACGCCTCCCCAGACGGCAGGAGGAGGGTGCACCGGTGCCACTTCAACGGCTGCAGAAAAGTTTACACCAAAAGCTCCCACTTGAAAGCACATCAGCGCACACACACAGGTCAGTCCCTTCATGGGCCAGGGAGGTCTCGGCCGATGGCAGGTGTCACTGAATCCCACTAGCCCTGGGAGGCAGCCTGGGCACCACTGAGTGTGGTCAGAGCAGACCAGTCCTCACCTCCTAAATCTCTCCACCAAAGAATTGGGGCTTTGGGGAGTTCAGAGTAGAATCTTAGAGACTGGCCATTTGAGTTGGACAAATGGGTAGCACTCTCAGATTAAACAAACAAGATGCTAGATCACATTTTCTGTCGACACCCAAACCTCCACCCACTCCAGCAATCTGGTTGGTCAAGGCCCCATGTGCCTGTCCCCCAGTGTCCGTGTGTCACATTCTGTTGAGCTGCCCCTTAGTTTCTGAAATGAAAGAGTCCGGACAGGGTTGCAGGGTTGGAGTGTGCTAGTGCTAACAGTGAGGGTGTGAGACCTCAGCAGGACCCATGTGCAGCAGTATTGATCAGCGGGTATTTATGGAGAGTTCTTCTGTGTATTCTGATACCATTTAAAATGGCAACAATGACTTCTTAATGAAATGCCATAAATTAGATGAAAATTCCATCTAAAAGTACCATGACAGTCTTTAGGTTAACTGGTAAAGAATCACAGAAAATTTAGAGTTGGGAATGATCTTCGAGATCACGATGTGCAAACTCTTACCAGTTTGAGAGGAAATTGCTGAGAGATCAAGTCAGGGTCCTAAAAGGACTTGATGACAGCTGAGATCAGGAGCCAGGTTTCCTGGGAACCAGCCCCATGTCTGTCCCAACAGCACACTCTAGGATTGGTCTTGGAAATTTTTTATATTCTCAGGTAGCACTAATATTAATTTATATGTATAATTTGACCAAGGAATGAATTCCACTTGGTCATTTGGATGTCATTTAGAAAGTGATTAGAAAGTGATTTGAAGACCTTGGGAAGGGGTTTCCCAGAAACGCATGACTTCAGTTGTGCAGAAATGTGGCAGGTCCCAGAGGAAACTGCAAAGACTCATTCCACAGGGACGTGAGTAAGAAACAAAACAGTGCTGGAGACAAACGGTTTCCATGGAGAAAGCAATAAAACTCTGCCCTCGACATGGCTGCAGGTCCAGCAGGCTGACACCTCACCCTGCAAGTATTCCATCAGTCTGAGTAATTGTCATTGTTACACGTTAACTTTGATTGCAGTAGCATGGGCCTTGCCAAACCTGGGTCCCTGGGACAACAGTTGGAGGCCTGAGGCTAGGTCAGGAAGGAGCTGGGGCTTGTTTCCTTGCAATGGCCGGTCACGGTCCCTAACCAAAGCATCTTATGAACTCCTGAAGCCCCTGGAACCCGGGACTTGCGTCCTGCCAGTGCTTGTGTTGACTGTCGGCATGTCAGTGAAGTCATGTGTGTCTGTCATGTGCTCTCTTCCCAGGAGAAAAGCCTTACAGATGCTCATGGGAAGGGTGTGAGTGGCGTTTTGCAAGAAGTGATGAGTTAACCAGACACTTCCGAAAGCACACCGGTGCCAAGCCTTTTAAATGCGCTCACTGTGACAGGTACGTCCGTGAGGGCTGCTCTGCCAAAGAAGCGTGGGCTGTGGGATGCCGTGACCAGAACAGGTGTCCTGTGGACTTTGGAAGGAAGGCAGATGGTGTCCTGCCATTGGCTGACATTTCTTTTAAGCCTAGGAGCTTTAGAAAGTCTCTAATATGTTCATTGTCCATGTTAGGAAGAAGTGTACCAGGTGTACATGAGAATAGGGTGATTTCATTGATACTTGTTGAAGATTGGCCTTTAATAGTTTTCAGATATGAAGATTAAAAATGAGGTCAGTTTAAATTCTGCAAAGAAATAGCCAGCTGCTGATTGGAGACGTCCTTCATTTACACTTTCCTGCCCCTGAAAGCCTTGGCAGTGACTCTGAGGAGAGCCCTGCCTCAGCCCCCAGAGTGGTCAGGCCAGGCTATGCAGGGGAGTGAGATGCTGGTCAGTAACACAGCGAGGGTGGAAACCTAACTTCTCCGCTTCCGGTTTGCCCTTGCAGGTGCTTCTCCAGGTCCGACCACCTGGCCCTGCACATGAAGAGGCACCTCTGAGGGGGCAGAGAGGTGAATCCTGTAGGCTAAAAGGCTTCCAGGCTGAGAGATGGCCGTGGAAGGAGGGATGCGTGTTCCAGCCAAAGCATGCCATTTGCACCCCACCCAGTTGCCTCCAGGACCTCTCCTCGGAAGGTCTTTCGAGGGCTACACAGTCATGTAAGGAGCGGCATTGCACCGTGGTGCGTGGTGTCTGGGTGACCCTGGAGTTGCCACTGGTCCTCACCTCTGAGTGGCTCCTGAGCCTTTGCCGTGAGCATGCGCACTGAGAATGTTAATGGTTGGGTTGACTGTATGTTGAGGATCTATCACTGACTGTATGATGAGGCAAACTTTTTCTCCTTGTGGTAGCGAAACTGCAAGAGACAGGAAAAAAGTAGTTTGAATGTTTTGTGTGTAAGGAGTATACCGTGAGATGAGACAACCACCAGTCATTTCCTGGGGGGTGTCTGCACCTTAGAAAAACAAAACAAAACAAAACAAAAAACAACAAAAAAAAAAAAAAAAAAAAAAAAAAAAAAAAAAAAAAAAAAAAAAAAAAAAAAAAAAAAAAAAAAAAAAAAAAAAAAAAAAA